GACTAACGGGATCGGGTGGTCTGGTTCGCTGACTTGGTTGATGCATGTCATCGATCCCAATTGCTTGGATCGATGCTCATGACATTAATCACTGGATTGTCTGGTCTGGATTATTTACAGACCGCCGTCATATAGCTGGAATATTGCTGAGTGCGGCGTTAAACAACAAACAAACAAACGAAAAAACACTGTCGTCGGGTGGATGATATCCTGTGCCCCCTTTGTTCCCTTGCAAACACATACACGTACATGCACGTCGCTATATAAGTGCAATAATCTTGGACGCGACGTTAAACCCCATTTCACCTCACCTCACCCTTGCCTGCCCTCTTCATCTGGGCGGTTTGGCGGACTCCAGGAAACACTCTCACTGAGGTAGCACATCCAGCTATCTGTAGTATGAACAACCATTATGGGTACCTATGACACCTTGAAGTGTCTGATGGATGACAAGTATTCACACAGTTAACTCTCCTTCCATCTTGTTTTCATTTCGCTACACCAAAGATAGTGTGGTATTAGTGTTAGGAGAACAGATATATGATGTGTTTAGATCAATTTTATACTGTAAAATAATTTGTTTTGTATACAATTTGTGGTTATGATAATCTTATGTTTTGATACACATAAACATTATTGCTTTTATTCATAATTTCATGGCGAACAAAGTTAGTCCAAATAAGCAACCTTTGGACCAATATTACCATAGAACACTGTTCTATCTTGATATGTATTATACCGGGAAGCTACGCGTATGCACAAATGCAAAGTAGTTTGGCCCTGTGAATGGATTGTCCATTAATTGATCACATATAATTCCATCTATATCTGATAGATTCAAAATGTCGGTAAAGTTTCTTTCTTGAAAAGATGCTAAGACACATTTCGGTGTTTTTAAGGGAAATAAATGACGCATCATGTAAGACCTGTAAATTGATCAAACACAATGTTATTCCTGGGAAGGTTTCACATTCTATTCATCAATGCTTCAGCTAATCTCTTACCGATTCAGAAAACCACGCTTGTTTTCACAAATATACATTTTAGAAAATTAGACGAAGTTCTATGCACTTAGAAGACATCAAGTTCAACCGTTCTTTTGGTTTCACTATCAAATGTCTGGTGAAGTCGTGTGAGACATTTGATGGTAGGTTTTTATGAGCACCTGAAAGCTGATCATTGTGTGGTGTTCACATTAAAACATCTCGTGTCTGAGTGTCATGCTCCCTGCAAACATCCAAATTGTGCTCCATGCATGAACATGCATGTGCAAAATGTGAATCACAACCTTAAAATGTCTACATAAACATATATTTAATTTGGTCTGTTAGTGTTCAAATACACGTTTTTTAAAAATATATGAAATGCTACTTGTTATTTTTCTGAACTTTGTCGACAAGTGTTCGACATCCTACATGGCTGAAATACTGCCACTGTGATTTAATTTTCACTCACTCACTCACTCACTCTTGAGGGTGTTATCCACTTTGCTTTTCTTACTCATTCCCACCATGATGTATTTCCCCTATTTTCGCGAAATTTTCTCGCCACTATTGCGGCACTAACGCGGAATTATCATACTGTGTTAAACACGTGACCACATGTACGAGAGAGACATGTGATATTGTGTTAAACACGTGGCCACATGCACGGCAGTGACATCTCATATTGTGTTAAACACGCTGACACATGTACGAGAATGACATGTCATACTGTGTAAAACAAGCTGACACATGTACGAGAGTGACATGTCATACTGTGTTAAACAAGCTGACACATGTACGAGAGTGACATGTCATATTGTGTTAAACACGCGGACACATGTACGAGAGTGACATCTCATATTGTATTAAACACGCGGACACATGTACGAGAATGACATGTCATACTGTGTAAAACAAGCTGACACATGTACGAGAGTGACATGTCATATTGTGTTAAACAAGCTGACACATGTACGAGAGTGACATGTCATATTGTGTTAAACACGTGGCAACATGTACGAGAGTGACATGTCATATTGTGTTAAACATGCGGACACATGTACGAGAGTGGCATGTCATATTGTCAAACACGTGGCCGCATGCACGAGAGTAACATGTCATATTGTGTTAAACACGCCGACATATGTAGGGCAGTGACATGTCATACTGTGTGAAAAAAGGATCCGTCCCAGGTCGCGTCCCACGAAGAGACGTTGAAAGATAGTACTTCTTATTAACCTGCCTTGTGCTCGGCACTAGGGGGCTAAAACAAGGACTGGGAGATGTCTGATATGTACGCGCGTCTGTGGCTGCTCGTACTGGCCCAGACAAAATATAATGTCGAGTTTATTGTTCTCGTCCACCGAGATACCATTGGACCACGGAGGCGGTCTGATTATTTCCTGGCCGCCATGAAATAGACGGAATAGGGCTGAATGCGGCGGTAAACAACATTCACATACTACTCACCTACGGTCATTTACAACTCCACTTTCATCAAAGCTGTGGACATTGTATATTGGGAAATAGACCAGTAATTGATACCACGATCGATACATTTTAAAAGTCTATCAACGCCGTGTGACAAACATCCCTGAAACATATAATCAAATTATATATCACTTGTCACTGTCACGATCCCTCTTGGTGATACCGGGTTAGAATATTTCTCCAGCAACCTAGGAACCGGTACACTGACCCAAACATTGTGGCCACCGGTCACCGTGTAATGTGTATTGACCACAACTATGGACTAAGTTCCTCATCCGGAATCAGCACGGGGACTCCTTCTAAAGAGTTTTACCGCAAGAATAGGTCTCCAGCAAGCTATGCCGGTCGTAAGAGGCGGCCAAATGGATGGGGTAGTCAGGCTCGGTGACATGGCTGATAGCATGGCATTGTACCCCGATGGCGTCGGTCGTTGCTGACAATATTAGTCACCTCATTGTCTGGTTGATACTCGATTATTTATAGGCCACCGTCATATTTATGAGTGCAGCGTTGAACAACAAACAAGTAAAACCGTCCTGACAGGTTAAGAAAATTATTTTAGAACGATCGCAAAACTGTGAAATGGACAAATGGTGAAGCGCTCGTAAAATATCAAAGTCGATGATGTATACATTCATTATATCATTATATAAATAATGCTGGTCGTTATGCAGACGGTTTCGTTGTTCTTATACGTTGTATACTCATATAGAATCTCTCTCGTGTCGCGACCGCCTCCGTGGTCTAGTGGATAGAGTGTCTGCCCGGAGAGCGGAATGTCGTGGGTTCGATCCCTGGCCGCGTCTTACCAAAAGTCGTTAAATTAGGGGACGAATTTTCAAGTTACAGGTCGCACAAATGTTAAATTAAAAAAGATATAAAAGTTAAAAACATGATAGCATATTTTTTCAGAAAATAAACTTTGCACTGCACCTCTTCTATTGATTTGAAAACCTTTCCCTATGTTTGAAAAAATCCATGGAGTTGTTTTCAAGTTATAGGCTTTAGGTTAGAAGTAATTCTATGTAAAAAAAAATACATGTAGTAATAACTGTATGCTTTCAGAAATCCAAATATTGAAATAAAACTTCGCACAGCACCTCTCCTATTGGTATACAATATGTCGTTGTTTTCAAGTTATAGGTCGCACAAATGTCCTCGGAAGGTGGACGGACAGACGGAATTCCTTGGTACTACTATATGTTATAATAAAATGTTTTTCCAGCCTCTGAGACTTTTGTAACAAGTCCAATTAGCATGCTATAATTGATTATTCTAGTATCATTCAAGCTGACTGCCAAACGAAGACCGCCTCCTTTGTCTAGTAGAGCAGTGGAAGGTCGGGGGTTCGATCCTGGCCGTGTCATACCAAAAACACGTTTTGCGATACTACTTATTGTTACCCTGCCTGGCGTTCGGCATGAAGGTAATACAAGCGTATAGTCGACGACGTCATCTATATTGCTCCTTAATATCCAATGGCACCAGTTCTGTTCAGTATGTGCTTTATATATAGAGATGCAATGTTTGGCAATCCTTTTAATTCACATAACACATGAAAAAATCTACAATTTTTTTCAATACATCAACCCCTTAGCATATTGACAAGTTACTTACAAAAGTACGAAAAAGCCAATACATGTTATACCATTTGCCTTACGTTTGACAGAAACTAAGATCATTTGGCAATTAATATTTGTTTGTTTGTTGTGTAACGTCACACTCAGCCAATATTTCAGCTATATGACGGCAGTCTGTATATAATCTAGTCGGGACTACACAATCTTTGATTAAAAAATAATGAGCATTGATCTACGCAACTGGGATACGATGACATGCATCAACCAAGTCAGCGAGCCTGAAGACCCGATCCAGTCAGTGGCCTCTTACGACAAGCATGGGTTGCTTTACACAAATTCTTACACGGATCTTCACGGTTACAAAGTATAAGTTAGGCGGAACAGTCTGAAGCATGATTATATTTTACAAGAATTGTCTGGGACAATTTATTCTTTTTGATAAAATCCAAGGCCCCTTCCAGAATATTAAATGGTCTGACCCTTGTCACTCGTTTCCATGGGACAATTCATGACAACTAACAGTACTAATTATCAATTAATGTCAAGTATGATGATAAATAATATTGCAGTATCAAGGTCAAAGTTCATAACACAGTGGGGGGCACGGGGGGCCCAGTCGTCTAAGGCGCCGCGATTCGCTGTGCAGAGTTGCGTCCCTTGGGCACGCCAGAAACCTATGATTGTGGGTTCGAATCCCGGTTCGCCCCAATTATGTTTCTAGGTTTGTCAGCACCATACCCGTGCTCGTGGGTTTCACCGAAGTGGTAAACGTCTGAGACCTGCATCACTTCGGGCTTTCCTCCCACATTAAGCTGACACGTCGTGATATAACTGGAATAATGTAAAAAGCGGCGTTAAACCCAACTCACTCACTCACTCACTCACTCACTCACTCATAACACAGTGCGGACATTCATCCCCCCCCCCCCCCTCCCCTCCTCCCCTCCGAGCATTGTAAAGGCCGTAGCCTTCCTGAATGATGTTTCACAACACAGCAGCATTCTCCTTTTATGATATTCACACGTACTTCCTCAACAGCACACGGGTGACCGACCATGTGATATTTTGGTGTGATTGAGATGTATCGAAATAATTTTGGTGGCAGGAATTTCTTTTTTCTCTCCTAACATTATGAGGCATGGTTAGAATTTTCTTAGACAATTATTTAATTCTATAAAATCCCATAATATCAAATAGTCTGTCCCTTCACTGCATACATAAAGGCACTCATGATTATTTCTGAATCCTCCAGTCCCCGTAATATATATGACGGAATATCTCTCCAGTGGTGGTGTTCCAGCTTTTTATATCTGTGGCGTTGTGTTCTGGACGGTGAAACCGAATCCACAAATGAACAGCATAATTTTTAGCCCGCCAGTCATACAGCTGCCCTTCCTTGTACAACTGGGGCAACTCTCCCCAGTTCGGACGATGCATAGAAGTAGCTTCTGTATGTATAAGATTCGGGAATCTCCTGGCCAAAATGGCAGGAAGCTTAACTGAATGATAAGCCCAGTTCCTATCGTCAAATGTTTTATATTCTTTATGCCATATCCTGAAGAAATCAGCCCATGCTCTTCCAATCATTATTCCATTGCATAAACCATCTGGTGTTTCATATCCCATTGTAACATCATAGTTAAGTAGAGGGCCTAACGGTTTGAGTACCATAGCGTCCAGGTCAAAGTAGAACCCTCCATATTCCATAATAGCTTCCAGACGTACCACATCAGTCAGATGCTCAGCAACTGTGACCTTCCGACCACGGATTTCGGTCGGGGTTTCTCGATACACAAGTGTGAGTTCTGGCACTTTGTCCTTCAGCTCCGTCCAGTAAGGCCCCTCTGGGACCATGTCGTGCCAGAACAGGACCTTGTCGGGTTTCAGGAACTTATGTGCAGCAAGAATGGACAGGAGGTGATGGAACCGGAAAGTATTTCCCTTAGCTTTTCCTCCGTACCAGGTGAAGTGAGAAATACTTGGGACGATTCTATAATTATGGCTTATATTCAACTTCAAATCCACGTCAGATTCCACCCTACTCAGAAAATCCGGAAGGCGTATATATTTGTACACCTTCTCCGATGTCTTGTCTTTGCACAAATTTCCATAGATGCATATTTTTCCTTTAGTAGGCAGTGGTGTCAATTTCCAGTCTCCGTAATAGATATATCTAAATATCTCACCTACGGTAGTGTTCCAATATTTGATATCCTCAGGGTTGTGTTCAGTTTTATGAAACCGTATCCAAAGATGAACTGCGAAGTTATCGACTCTCCACTTGAACAACTTCCCTTCTGTATACAACACATCCCGTTCGATATAGTTAGGTCGATGCATGGACGTTGCTTCCGTGTGTATCAGATTGGGGTGCGCCTTGGCTAGATGTGCTGGTAGAACTACGGAATGGTAATTCCAGTTGCTGTCATCGAAAGTCTTGTATTCTCGGTGCCAAATCTTCAGGAAATCGGCCCAGGGTTTCCCGATTATTATTCCGTTACATAAACCATCAGGCGCTTCATAACCCATAACTACGTCGTATTTCAACAGAGCGTCCAATGGTTTCAGAACAATAGCATCAAGATCAAAATACATTCCACCATATTCTAACACTGCTTCTAAGCGCACAACATCCGTCAAGTGCTCTGGAACCGCTACCTTCCTGCCACGTATTTCAGACGGGGCTCCGCGGTACACAAGTACAACCTCCGGGACTTTTTGAAGCAGCTCTTTCCAGTAATTTCCATTTGGTACCATGTCATGCCAGAATAATATGTGATCCGGTTTGATAAATTTGTGAGCTGCTAGAACAGCAATAAGGTGATGAAATCGAAATTCATTACCCTTCGTCTGTCCGCCATACCAAGTAAAATGAACAATATTCGGGATGACTCTCACTTGATGATTAATCTTTCGTTTCCGATCTACCGGCGAATCGATATTTTGAAGAAAATCGGCCTGTCTCTGATAGGTATATACTTTAGAGCTGTCATTCGTCCTGCATATGTTATTAAGTATACATGATTTTCTTGAAACAGTACTTGGAGGGCGTGTGCGATTGACATGTTGCCCAGGCAACTGCAGTTTCCAGTCGCCATAGTAGATCCATCTGAACATTTCCCCAACTGTAGTGTTCCATGTCTTAATATCGTTAGGATTATGTTCCACTTTATGAAGTCGAATCCACAAATGGCTGGCATAATTATTTTTCCTCCAGTCATAAAGCTTCCCAACAGTATATAACCTATCCAGCTCCATCCAATTGGGTCTGTGAAGAGAGGTGTCTTCAGTGTGCACAAGATTGGGGTACTGCTTTGCTAGCCTTCCAGGAATCTGAACAGAGTGAACGTTCCACTGATGATCCTGAAAAGACTTATATTCCTTGTGCCAGATCTTGAAAAAATCGGCCCATGCCGTACCAATCATGATGCCATTGCACAATCCCCCTGGCGTCTCGTATCCCATGGCAACGTCGAATTTAAGGAGGGGATCCAGGGGCTTGAGTATCATGACATCGAGATCAAAATACATTCCCCCGAATTCCATCACTGCCTCAAGTCTCACCACGTCTGTCACATGTTCCGCCACGACGACTTTCCGCCCTCGAATTTCCGTCGGCCCTTTCCGGAAAACAAGGCACAGTTCCGGAACCTTTTCCTTCACCTCTTTCCAGTAATCTCCAGTCGGAACCATGTCGTGCCAAAAATATATTCTACTGGGTTTGATGAATTTATGAGCTGACAAAATAGCCAGCATGTGATGGAACCGGAAGTTGTTTCCTCGTTTCAACCCCCCGTACCATGCGTAATGAACAATATGGGGAACGACCTCTCTCTGGTGGGTGATGTTCCTCTTCAAGTCAATCCCCTTCTCGATGAGTTTGTAGAAATTAGCATGCCGTATGTAGGTATACACGTTCCCGTCAGTGTTGTTTTTGCATATATTCTCCTCAATACAGTACCGTCCATGCGTGGTGGCTCGATGGATTATAAGGATTTGGTTTCCTGGGAAACTCGGCTTTTCAGGACTGGACTGGACCAAATATTTGGGTACGATGACGTTGTATAAGAGTAGCAGGCACACACACGAAAGCAATACTGCCACGAACCATGATCGGCTGTGTTTCATACTGGGTTAGGTAGTCTGTCAAGTTGTCAGCTTTAAGACGGTGTCACTGTGGTAAGACAATATTCACGTCGCTCGGCAACACCTGAAAAATCGATAATAGGTGAACTGAATTTAAAAAATTAATGCGCTTGAAGGTTAATGTTGCCGATAACTGATACTGTAAGAAGAATATACATTTATAATTAACTGCCGCGACATCACATGACGACACATTCTTGCTGTGTAAAATGTCACTGAGTCCCCATGCACTACTGCGTTGAAACCACTTTGTCAGTAGAGACAGTAACTAGGGAGACATTTGATCTTAGTTGGTTGTTTGTTGTATAACGTCACACTCAGAAATATTTCAGCTATATGACGGCGGTCTGTATATAATCGAGTTTGGACTACACAATCCTGTGATTAACATTATGAGCATTGATCTACGCAATTGGGATCGATGACGTGCATCAACCAAATCAGCGAGCCTGACCACCTGATCCCGTTAGTCGCCTTTTACGACAAGCATAGTCGCTTTTTTACAGCAAGCATTGGTTGCTGAAGACCTATTCTACCCCGGATCTTCACGGATCCATTTCAACTGAGATCATTCATTGATTGAGGGCGGGCTGAGATTTTGTGTGGAGACTATAGTCCTCGCCATTTGAAACAGAATGAATTTCGAAATATCTCGATGAGTAATCAACGATCATAGCTGCATGTGTGCTAATACTTATAAAGTGAAAATAAGCCATTCCGCCGAAAACGAATATTACTTACAGCAATGACAAACATTGCAAAGTGCGCATTTTATGAAATGTCAAATTTTTTAGTGATAAACATCATCCGTGAGTTTTGATCACGTAGTTTCAATCTGGATAAGAATCAACAGTCTTACTGCGATTGGATATATTTAGCACTGACCTTGGTCATGCGCTTTAAATACCACGTGTTTTTCATTCAGTTCGTGCTTGTACGCACGCTGGCAACGCTACTGAATATAGTCGCCCGCAGTCACGTGACTGCCGATCCTCAGTCGGAATGTAACCATGTGATCCAAACTCAAAGATGATTGTTATCGCCAGCAAAAGGAATGTTTCTTAGAAACAGCACTTTTCAATTTTTTGTCATTACTGTAAGTGTTATTCTTATCGCCGGAATGGCTTCTTTTCACTTTATAAGTATTAGCACACACGTTCACCAATAATCGGGGCGGTCGGGTAGCCTAGTGGTTAAAGCGTTCGCTCGTCACGCTGAAGACCCGGGTTCGATTCCCAACATGGGTACAATGTGTGAAGCCCATTTCTGGTGTCCCCCCGCCGTGATATTGCTGGAATATTGCTAAAAGCGGCGTAACACCATACTCACTCACTCACTCACCACTAATCGCAATTATGGAGAGGAATATACACATGGTTTGGTGGAAACTGATCTTGCCGACAAATGTCCGAGCGGAGTGGATCGATCGGTGTTGACACTTTCGTAAAATATTATTTTCTTAATCTATTGGATAGATCTTGTGATGAAATTCCATGCCTTTAACTAAATTCTTAATCTACGACTATTTTGCATCCCAAAGTCGCACTCGGATATTACCTGTACCAATTTAGGGGCGGTCGGGTAGCCTAGTGGTTAAAGCGTTCGCTCCTCACGTCGAAGACCCGGGTTCGATTCCCGACATGGTTACAATGTGTGAAGCCCATTTCTTGTGTCCCCCGCCCCGATATTGCTGGAATATTGCTAAAAGCGGCGTAAAACAATACTCACTAACTTGTACCAATTTCTTGGCAAGAAATATAGGTCCCGTAATTAAAGTCAAATTTCTCAAATCTTACAGTAAAGTACACTACACCATTCCATAACCTTGCAGGACCCTCATACTTCCTGTAAGGACTTTGGAGGTTCTGTTAGTCATTGGACACCCCGGTTGTGTGTTCTGTGTGACCTTTTGACGCGGAAGTTTTTCCGTGTATTATTTATGATCAGAATCTCGGGCGACTGTACCCATGTGGTGACTTTAATGCACGTTGCAGATACCTTTGAGTCATATCCCACTATTCAATGGCTCATTTCGGCCTCAAGGCTCATGCAGATATGGAACACTAAAATTCAAATCCTTTTCAAGGCTTTCAAGCCTTCAATCTATCAATATTTTGTTTTAATCCAGCATACGATATTCTAGTTATAAGACCCGTAAAAAGAGGTATGATGATCACAAATCAACTACTTTATTTATTTTCACAACCAACAAATAAAATAAATTAAGTTTGTTATTAATTGTAATACTTTTTATAAACACGTATAATGCATGTTGTACAAATTCAAACCTTTTCAAGCGATTTTTGGGATTTTTAAGGCTTTAAAATTTGACACTTAAACTGAAGGCTTTTCAAGAGAGACCACAAGATTTAAGGCCTTTTCAAGCCTGTATGATGTTTGTTTTGTTTGTTTGTTGTTTAACGCCGCACTCAGCAATATTCCAGCTAAATGACGGCGGTCTGTAAATAATCGAGTCTGGACCAGACAATCCAGTGACTGACTTCATGAGCATCGATCCACGCAATTGGGACCGATGACATGCATCAACCAAGTCAGCGAGCCTGAGCATACGATCCCGTTAGTCGCCTCTTACGACGAGCACAGTCGCCTTTTACGGCAAGTATGGGTTCTACCCCGGATCTTCACGGGTCGGTCAAATGAGTTAATGTAATGACGTAATGAGCTTCGATCTTCGCGCGCGAGTATGTGTGTGTGTGCGTGCGTGCGTGCGTGCGTGCGTGCGTGTGTCTGTGCTTGCACTATTCCTGACTCATGCACGTTTTATAGCGCAGCTCACCAAGATACCATGCCGCAGTTTAACATGAATACCACACTCAGACACAGTATACTGACTCCGAGCCGACCAGTCCTTGGTAGTTTTATTACAACTATGCGCCTATCTATTGTTGCAAGTGTGTATGTCGGACATAACAGAATTCTAACGTTCGCTTTTGATAATTTGATAACGGTGTAAGCAACAGTATCTCCCAAGAAAAACAGGAAGCAGTAAGGGTCAAATGTTCAGCGTGACCTACAGCCTGAGCGCACATTGTACCAACATGGCACCATGCATGCGGGGAATCCTGCATCTAGAGGCTGAAGGCTGGCACTTGACTCAACAGCCTCAGTGTTGTGTTATTCCACATCCACAATAATGACAGTTATTTATGATCATATTTGGGGATGGTCATGGAAAAAGGACATTTCATAGTATGATATTAGCGATTTGGCATTATGAGGGACGGTCTTTACAAAATGTACAAGGTGAAGGTGAAATGGAGTTAAACGTCGCGTCCAAGATTATTGCACGTATATAGCGACGTGCATGTACGTGTGTGTGTTTGTGTGGCTGCTTGTACTTGTCCGGACTGATACCGATTTATAGTGCTCGCACACGGAGATACCATGCCGCAGTTAAACATGAATACCCCACTCAGACACAGTATACTGACTCCGAGCCGACCAGTCCGTGTTTTAGCCCCTTAACAACAAGTACCATCTTTTAACGTCTTTTGGTATGACGCGGCCGCGGCCGGGGATCGACCCCGGACCTTCCGCTCTCCGGGCGGACGCTCTACCAGTAGACCACGGAGGCGGTCACAAAATCTACAAGAGTATGGGGTGGGTCACCCAAAAATATGTCAAGCATTAGAGGAAGGTAATTTTTTTTCAGTACATTAGTGCATACAAAAGAAAACGAAACCCCGGTAATAATTGACCGGTCCCTTATTGGGGATGAAAAATAGCCAAACAGATATTTTATGTATGACGTATATTCTGAATAGAATATCAAAAAAGTTGTAAATACGTACATAGCAAATACGATGATGTTTCATACAAAGGCTCAGTCATAGCTTTCTATGACTTTCTAACTATCTTTGATTTTCAAAACGGCTCCAAATATAGAATGAGTGAGTGAGTTGGGTTTAACGCCGCTTTTAACAGTATTCCAGTTATATCGCGGCGTGTGAGCCCGAAGTGATGCAGGTCTTAGACGTTTACCACTTCTGTGAAACCCACGAGCACGGGTATGGTGCTGACAAACCTAGAAACATAATCGGTGCGAACCGGGATTCGAACCCACAATCATATTTTTCTGGCGTGCCCAAGGGATTCAACTCTGCACAGCGAACAGCGGCGCCTTAGATGGATGTGCAAACCGTGCCCCCTACAGATCTAGAGCTGTTAAAATATGTATGTATATAACAGTATGTATCGACGGGGTTATTCCTTTTCAACATGACATCATCATTAGAGAAAATATAACAGTATATCTTGACAGTTCTTTTCAGTTCTTTTTTAACATTGGGGCACGGGCGGTCCAGTTGTCTAATGCGCCGCAATTCGCTTCGAAGAGTTGCCTCCCTTTGGCAGAAACCTGTGATCGTTGCTTCGAATCCTGGTTCGCCCAGATTAAATTTCTAGGTTTGTCAGCACCATATTGATGATCGTCGGTTTCTCCAAAGTGGTAAACGTCTCAGACCTGCATCAGTTTAGGCTTTCCTTCCACATTAAGCTGACACGCCTTTGTATAACTGTGATATTCAGGGATAGAAACATTTTAGTCCACTAGTCCTTAAAATGATAAGTAGCAAAAGCCTTATAAAGGGTAAATTTCTACCAGTCCTTATGATACCTTAATCATTGGGCGGTTTCGCAAGGACTACAGGACTAGACCAATTTCTTACGCTGGATATTGTACAATATATATATGGTTCCGTGTAAACGCCCCTTTTCAACTGTGAATTAAGGTGTCAAACACCCAGTGCGCGAAATCAAAATTATGACTTTACTCACCCCAATCACCCCCGCTTTAACGTCGTGTCACTCATATGTTATACAGTGTTACGGATTGCGAAATATGGTGAGATTAGTAAAGTGGCTACAGCACTTGTCGACGTTTGAACTTCAAGCGAATGAGGGCGAATTTTGATTATTAATATGTATCCATGTCACATGCACGTAACTATTTTAGTATCAGAGAGCCAGTTTGAAAAATAAATCGGATCAGACTGGTCAGCAACGTTAGAAATTGGCACTAGTCCTATAAACCTGTCATCATAAGGACCAGTAGAGATTTGCCAGTTTTCAGGGTTTGGCTATATGTTATCATTACCATAAGGAGTAGTGGACTAAAACTGTTAGTTTCTATCACTGGTCGGAAAGATCCACTTTTCCCCTCTGTAATCCTGATATTAATTGTAACTATACTGTGAAAAAACAGTTACTGTAGTATTTCCTTCTTTCACCCAAGTTATCGTTTCCCTCGTATGACAATTTGCCTACTATACTGCTTTTTAGCGACCACTAATCCCCGTTATTGCGCACGCTCGTGATCGCATCTCGTTTTACTTTCGCTTGTATTCATTTGAAGAGGGAAATAATTATCTAAAAATGATGAAGGAAATTGAAACATTTTTTTGCAAAAAGACACTTCGTAATCACACCGCTCAAATGCACGTGTCACGTGACTAATTCGAATGTTGCAAAAATCTAGCACCACGATGACGCATATTGAGTTATGGTTTTGCTCAGTATATGATTAATGTAATTTGTATAACTGAAGCAGTGCGCGTGATCACGTTGCTGAGGACAATACCAGGCGCAGTCAGTTGACGGAAGGTTCTATCTAAACTGTTTTGATTCTCTCTCGCAGAGTTAAAAAATGAATGAAATCAGCTCAAACCATTTCCCTAGACAGAAAAATCCGCATGAGACTATAGTACATAAGTAATAAAAACTATTGGCACCGTCAACGTTATTATGGACTACTTCAGAAATAACACGACAAAATGGCCATAACTGATCGGCGTCCATTAAACCCCTTGTGCTTTCAAATTCAAGCATTACATTTGGCCAATTATTTAACGTTTTAAGCTTTTTATAAATTAAATTTAAAATATTAATATCACACTATAACACCCGAAGTGTAGAGAAGCGGTCTTCGTGATTTCACAACCTAGCGATGCTTTTTTGCTTGTATCACATGGCGCCCGAGTTACGAGTGACCGAAAATAGGTTTACTGATCATGAATATATTTGCTGCCGTTGAAAATGTTCAAACGAATTTGATTGAATCTACGTGTACCTACTCTTCGATGATAGTACGTTAGTACTTGGTAATTATGAATAAATATTAATGATGTCCGGTATTGAAATGTCAATTTGCGGTTTGTTTGGGCTTTTTAGCCATGTTTTATTTTTTGTTCATTGTAAATGCCTGATATCAACTACCCCGAAGTTGTTTTTATCACCAATGAAAGAGCGCTGACGCAGAAGCCTCTATCGACGTAACCAGGTTTTCATCAAGATAAATATACTGTCATTCGTACTGTAACATAAACTTTGAAACAGCCTGCGTATGAATTAATCACTGCCACTTCCGTCAATTTTGTTTTGACGTCAAAACACTACCAATTGCATCGGGATATTATTTTATCGGTATGTTGAACTCACGGACAATTTTCAATGAATGTATAATAATAATAATAATAATAATAATAATAATAATAATGATAATAATAATCCATTTATATGGCGCTGTACTCTATGCATAAGCATGTTATAAACGTATATATTAGTCATTTATTAGCATGGTCAATGGATCAGTGTGTTCTCAACAATCATTCTCACCCTCCTGGGGAGTATACAACCCTAGCTCCCTAACTGGCGCTAGAAGGTTAACAACGACATTGCCATCTCATCCTACCGGGTACCCATTCACTGCTGGGTGAACAGAGGCACAATTCGAACAAAGTCACTTGCCCAAGGAGACACCACATCTGCTGCACGTGCTTCAGTGGGGGGCAGGACCGAAGCCCTAGAAATTCTCCGGAGCCGAGCTGCGCGAATTCGGTCACCCATCCAAGGACTCTCCTCGACCTACGTTGCTTATAGTTTGAGATAAATGTTTAATGTGTATCACCGTTAGAATATGTACTTCACAATGATATGAATTATTGGACATCTTGATTTCAAACAAGGGAGCTTACTTGACTTTACTTGCCACAATCGGGTACTTCCATATTACGATTAATGTAGAAAAGTTGCAAACTTAGAATACCGGCACTTTCACAGACGGCTAGGCTGTGCATGTATACCTTTGGGAATTGCTAAATTAACACTCTGCTGGAGAGACAATCGACTCTAGTTGAACGTTATACAATTTTGTTACACTGTGTGCAGAAATAAGAACGTTGAAACGCGTCTGACGGCCAGGCACCATCTCACACTATCTTTAACATAAATTTCAATGTTATGGTATATTCAAAATTTCAAAGCAGATTCAAATGTAAGGTCTTGATAATGCCGAACTGCATTATGAGCCTATTGTGAAACGTGACAGAGCCCACTTGGGCTGGGACGGGTAACTCGGGTACTCGGGTCGGGTGGGTCATGAACAGGACCCGGGGATCCACGGGACCACCCGGACCCGTGTGATATATTGTTTATGTCAAAATCTCACTGTAGCTCAGAGGTTACACTACATGTCGCTATATTCGCATTTCTTTCTGACGATACATCCATTCCTTTTGACTTTCATATGTTTTAGTAAAGATAACGCTTCAGTCAACTTCCGTGTACGCATGATCTGATCGTTTGATACATGTATCTAAACAGCTACTGCCTGGGCTGCGGTGAAACAATTCTTGAGACCTGCAGTGGGTACCCGAGTAGGGTCGGGTAATAGGGGGTCGGATACCCGGGTAGTAGATTTGGACTAATCCCAGCCCATGAGCCCACTGTACTCTGATGTCCAGCCACTGGGCGTCATTTACCTTAGTCTACATCCTTGCAAGCAGCGAGCACTGGCGGGCATCAATTTCCAGAAATTGATTATTTTATTACATAGCGTATCAACAAATTGCACGGGTCATTTAAATATACTTTTTGTCTAGAGACTGGAACATCTTTAAACAATAGGTTCAGTTTGGGCTCACGCGGTCTTTTGAATGATAAGCCTAGTCTAACCCCAATCTTACGGTGCTCTATGTCAGAAATAGCATATTCAAACGAAAATAGAGTCCCTAAACGGTAATATGCAGTTGAAAACTCGTGAATATAGTACAAACACACAATAAATATCACACGGTATACGAGAAATTACCATAGGAAAGCTATTACCTCGTAATATGTGGGCTATATGCAAGGCTTCTCTTTCCTTCGGCGGAGCGGTCAAGGACAGACCTAAGGGAGATCACTCTATATGCCAGAAATGTGCCAGATATAATTTCTGCTGCAGTTGATACATCGTAAACGATGTTAACGTTCAACCTATCGCAACACAACACTGTTGGGCAGAAGTATACACTTTAAAGTGGAATTTGAAAAACAATACAAACGTTATCATTTTGTTACTAGTTCTAGGTTGAAAACAGTCACCGAAACCAAGGCCGTAGTTAACTTTTTTGGACGGGGTGGGGGGGAGGGGTCGAACACACAACTACGATACCGGAATACATGACCAGCCTCCATGAAACATGGGTGGATTAATAGAGTCCGAAATCCACCGAGTTCAAGATTAAAGAGTCTAAATGATCAGAAACAACGCTTCTGTATGTATTCGTGTTAGGGTACTGGGTTTTCCCGGGAATGTGGAAGTAGTCCGTCAGTGTTTACGTCATTTCATCAGTCTCGTACAACACCTATGAGCGTCAAATTGTGTCGATCATACATTTATGAATGTCAGTTTTACGGTCAAATGACCGGCCTCTCTTCCGATAATAAAGCCGTATATCATGTAAACTAAACATAAACAAATATTTATTGTTTAACGTTTCACTCAGCTATATTCCAGTCAGCTATATTCGGTCTGTAAATAATCGATTCTGGCCTAGACTATCCAGAGATTGACATCGTGAGCATCGATCTTAAGAATACGATGACATGAAATTATCCGCGTTACCGAGTTTAGTCGCCTCTAGCGACAAGCAGAGACTTCGCGGAATCTATATTCTTACCCGAAAACCCCACGGGTCGATGTTGAGCCTCTTATTATAAATAAATAACAATTGGATGCTTTTACATATGAAATGTCGTTGCAATGTGTTTATGACAGACACTACCGTAACAGCGTTATCTCTGTGATTGTACAACACTATCTGACAACTGATAACAAATATTCATGTTTTATTATAATGTAAATCGTGATGCGCTTTAAAGCACAAATTTAAAATACTAGGCACGATATGACAAAATCATTTCGTAAGAACTGTACTCACATGTACACGTGCCTACTGCTCATCTCCTACATGGATCTTCAAATTAAGACCGCATACAAAATAGTAACTATGACAACGCAACAGTTTGCTTCAGGTGACAACATCAATCATCAACTATCTCCCAGCAATATGACGATTGACACCCCAACAGTAATTTAATATGATAAATGTAGTTTAACTGCAAGCCGATTAGAAAGGAATACGAAACCTCTCATAAATATATTAATTTGAAGCATTATATATAGGTCGGATTGTTTTTTTTTATCTTAACAATTTTGGATACAAAAATGTACGATATGTCATACTTACGATTTGAAAGGGATAACAGTATTGAATAGATCTCGAATTCTCCCTTGCCTTGCGCAAGGTGCGACTCAGTGGGACTGGTGGCCATATGCATATGACGGTTGAGTTGGAATAATATTTATATAGATTTACACCGGATGAACACCCAACATCTGTCGTGACTTGGTCAGCGTGGCATTGTATCCTAAGTGACGTCAAGACCTCTGCACTTTCAGACATCTGTATTGCCATTCTGTGTAATCTCTAAATATTCAAAGCACATCATTTCCCGACTTTCCCTTTGAACCTTGTCCAGTTTCACAAGCGGTCGTTGCGGTATAGCAGATGTAATGGCGACTCACCAGTATAGTCAGTCCTACGGCAATCGTTGCGCTGCGATCGCTTTGAAACAGGAAGGTTTTATAGTCATGTACCGTGATTAACGTTTTAAAAATAAAGGTTTAGAAGCGTTTATCCGAAATATGTTAAAAATACTAGTACGCAACAACTGTTTGAAAATATAGTTGCAACACGTACTGTGACTGTAAACAAAAGCTGTAGCATCTGCCCGTGGCAAGGGAGTTAACTGAGTTTAAAAGTCCAGTTCATACAGTTTATAGTATATGTCTTACACAGTTTGTAATGTATGCCTTATACAGTTTGTAATATAATCCTTATACAGTTTGTAATATATGCCTTACACAGTTTGTAATATATGTCTTATACAGTTTGTAATATAATCCTTATACAGTTTGTAATATATTCCTTATACAGTTTGTAATATAATCCTTATACAGTTTGTAATATATTCCTTATACAGTTTGTAATATAATCCTTATACAGTTTGTAATATATGCCTTACACAGTTTGTAATGTATGTCTTACACAGTTTGTAATGTATGCCTTACACAGTTTGTAATATATGCCTTATACAGTTTGTAATATAATCCTTATACAGTTTGTAATATATGCCTTATACAGTTTGTAATGTATGCCTTATACAGTTTGTAATATATGCCTTATACAGTTTATAGTATATGCCTTACACAGTTTGTAATGTATGCCTTATACAGTTTATAGTATATGCCTTACACAGTTTGTAATGTATGCCTTATACAGTTTATAGTATATGCCTTACACAGTTTGTAATGTATGCCTTATACAGTTTGTAATGTATGTCTTACACAGTTTGTAATGTATGCCTTACACAGTTTGTAATGTATGCCTTATACAGTTTATAGTATATGCCTTACACAGTTTGTAATGTATGCCTTATACAGTTTATAGTATATGCCTTACACAGTTTGTAATGTATGCCTTATACAGTTTATAGTATATGCCTTACACAGTTTGTAATGTATGCCTTATACAGTTTGTAATGTATGTCTTACACAGTTTGTAATATATGTCTTACACAGTTTGTAATGTATGTCTTACACAGTTTGTAATGTATGTCTTACACAGTTTGTAATGTATGCCTTATACAGTTTGTAATGTATGCCTTACACAGTTTGTAATGTATGCCTTATACAGTTTGTAATGTATGTCTTACACAGTTTGTAATGTATGCCTTATACAGTTTGTAATGTATGCCTTATACAGTTTGTAATATATGCCTTATACAGTTTATAGTATATGCCTTACACAGTTTGTAATGTATGCCTTATACAGTTTATAGTATATGCCTTACACAGTTTGTAATGTATGCCTTATACAGTTTGTAATGTATGTCTTACACAGTTTGTAATGTATGCCTTATACAGTTTGTAATGTATGCCTTACACAGTTTGTAATGTATGCCTTATACAGTTTGTAATGTATGTCTTACACAGTTTGTAATGTATGTCTTACACAGTTTGTAATGTATGCCTTATACAGTTTGTAATGTATGTCTTACACAGTTTGTAATATATTCCTTATACAGTTTGTAATGTATGCCTTACACAGTTTGTAATGTATGCCTTATACAGTTTGTAATGTATGCCTTATACAGTTTATAGTATATGCCTTACACAGTTTGTAATGTATGCCTTATACAGTTTATAGTATATGCCTTACACAGTTTGTAATGTATGCCTTATACAGTTTATAGTATATGCCTTACACAGTTTGTAATGTATGCCTTACACAGTTTGTAATGTATGTCTTACACAGTTTGTAATGTATGCCTTATACAGTTTGTAATGTATGCCTTATACAGTTTGTAATGTATGTCTTACACAGTTTGTAATGTATGCCTTATACAGTTTATAGTATATGCCTTACACAGTTTGTAATGTATGCCTTATACAGTTTATAGTATATGCCTTACACAGTTTGTAATGTATGCCTTACACAGTTTGTAATGTATGTCTTACACAGTTTGTAATGTATGTCTTACACAGTTTGTAATGTATGCCTTATACAGTTTGTAATGTATGTCTTACACAGTTTGTAATGTATGCCTTATACAGTTTATAGTATATGCCTTACACAGTTTGTAATGTATGCCTTATACAGTTTATAGTATATGCCTTACACAGTTTGTAATGTATGCCTTATACAGTTTGTAATGTATGTCTTACACAGTTTGTAATGTATGCCTTATACAGTTTATAGTATATGCCTTATGCAGTTTGTAATATATGTCTTACACAGTTTGTAATGTATGCCTTATACAGTTTATAGTATATGCCTTACACAGTTTGTAATGTATGCCTTATACAGTTTATAGTATATGCCTTACACAGTTTGTAATGTATGCCTTATACAGTTTGTAATATATTCCTTATACAGTTTATAGTATATGCCTTATACAGTTTGTAATATATGTCTTATGCAGTTTGTAATATATTCCTTATACAGTTTATAGTATATGTCTTATGCAGTTTGTAATATATTCCTTATACAGTTTATAGTATATGCCTTATACAGTTTGTAATGTATGCCTTACACAGTTTGTAATGTATGCCTTATACAGTTTATAGTATATGCCTTACACAGTTTGTAATGTATGCCTTATACAGTTTGTAATGTATGTCTTACACAGTTTGTAATGTATGCCTTATACAGTTTATAGTATATGCCTTACACAGTTTGTAATGTATGCCTTATACAGTTTGTAATGTATGTCTTACACAGTTTGTAATGTATGCCTTATACAGTTTATAGTATATGCCTTATACAGTTTGTAATATATGCCTTACACAGTTTGTAATATATGTCTTATACAGTTTATAGTATATGCCTTACACAGTTTGTAATATATGCCTTATACAGTTTATAGTATATGCCTTACACAGTTTGTAATATATGCCTTATACAGTTTGTAATGTATGTCTTACACAGTTTGTAATGTATGCCTTATACAGTTTGTAATGTATGTCTTATACAGTTTGTAATGTATGCCTTATACAGTTTATAGTATATGCCTTACACAGTTTGTAATATATGCCTTATACAGTTTGTAATGTATGTCTTACACAGTTTGTAATGTATGCCTTATACAGTTTGTAATGTATGTCTTATACAGTTTGTAATGTATGCCTTATACAGTTTGTAATGTATGCCTTATACAGTTTGTAATGTATGTCTTACACAGTTTGTAATGTATGCCTTACACAGTTTGTAATGTATGCCTTATACAGTTTGTAATGTATGTCTTACACAGTTTGTAATGTATGCCTTATACAGTTTATAGTATATGCCTTACACAGTTTGTAATATATGCCTTATACAGTTTATAGAATATGCCTTACACAGTTTGTAATATATGCCTTATACAGTTTGTAATGTATGTCTTACACAGTTTGTAATGTATGCCTTATACAGTTTGTAATGTATGTCTTATACAGTTTGTAATGTATGCCTTATACAGTTTATAGTATATGCCTTATACAGTTTGTAATATATGCCTTACACAGTTTGTAATATATGTCTTATACAGTTTATAGTATATGCCTTACACAGTTTGTAATATATGCCTTATACAGTTTGTAATGTATGTCTTATACAGTTTGTAATGTATGTCTTACACAGTTTGTAATATATGCCTTATACAGTTTGTAATGTATGCCTTACACAGTTTGTAATATATGTCTTATACAGTTTGTAATGTATGCCTTACACAGTTTATAGTATATGCCTTATACAGTTTGTAATGTATGCCTTATACAGTTTGTAATGTATGCCTTATACAGTTTATAGTATATGCCTTACACAGTTTGTAATGTATGCCTTATACAGTTTGTAATGTATGCCTTACACAGTTTGTAATATATGCCTTATACAGTTTGTAATATATGCCTTATACAGTTTGTAATGTATGCCTTATACAGTTTGTAATGTATGCCTTACACAGTTTGTAATGTATGCCTTATACAGTTTGTAATATATGCCTTATACAGTTTGTAATATATGCCTTATACAGTTTGTAATATATTCCTTATACAGTTTGTAATGTATGCCTTATACAGTTTGTAATGTATGCCTTATACAGTTTGTAATATATGTCTTATACAGTTTGTAATATATTCCTTATACAGTTTGTAATGTATGCCTTATACAGTTTGTAATGTATGCCTTACACAGTTTGTAATGTATGCCTTATACAGTTTGTAATATATGCCTTATACAGTTTGTAATATATGCCTTATACAGTTTGTAATATATGCCTTATACAGTTTGTAATATATTCCTTATACAGTTTGTAATGTATGCCTTATACAGTTTGTAATGTATGCCTTATACAGTTTGTAATATATTCCTTATACAGTTTGTAATATATTCCTTATACAGTTTGTAATGTATGCCTTATACAGTTTGTAATATATTCCTTATACAGTTTGTAATATATTCCTTATACAGTTTGTAATATATTCCTTATACAGTTTGTAATGTATGCCTTATACAGTTTGTAATATATGCCTTATACAGTTTGTAATGTATGCCTTATACAGTTTGTAATATATTCCTTATACAGTTTGTAATATATTCCTTATACAGTTTGTAATATATTCCTTATACAGTTTGTAATATATGCCTTATACAGTTTGTAATATATTCCTTATACAGTTTGTAATATATGCCTTATACAGTTTGTAATATATTCCTTATACAGTTTGTAATATATGCCTTATACAGTTTATAGTATATGCCTTATACAGTTTGTAATATATTCCTTATACAGTTTGTAATGTATGCCTTATACAGTTTGTAATATATTCCTTATACAGTTTGTAATATATTCCTTATACAGTTTGTAATATATTCCTTATACAGTTTGTAATGTATGCCTTATACAGTTTGTAATATATGCCTTATACAGTTTGTAATGTATGCCTTATACAGTTTGTAATATATTCCTTATACAGTTTGTAATATATTCCTTATACAGTTTGTAATATATTCCTTATACAGTTTGT